TGTGATTGTGATAAATGTGTGATGTGATTGTGATGAATGTGTGATGTGATAAGGGAGTGATGCGATTGTGATGTGATTGTGATGAATGTGTGATGTGATTGTGATGAATGTGTGATGTGATGTGATAAGTGAGTGATGCAAATGTGATAAATGTGTGATGCAATGTGATAAATGTGTGATGTGATTGTGATAAATGTGTGATGTGATTGTGATGAATGTGTGATGTGATAAGGGAGTGATGCGATTGTGATAAATGTGTGATGTGATTGTGATAAATGTGTGATGTGATTGTGATGAATGTGTGATGTGATAAGTGAGTGATGCAAATGTGATAAATGTGTGATGCAATGTGATAAATGTGTAATGTGATTGTGATAAATGTGTGATGTGATTGTGATGAATGTGTGATGTGATGTGATAAGTGAGTGATGCAAATGTGATAAATGTGTGATGCAATGTGATAAATGTGTGATGTAATGTGATAAATGTGTGATGTGATTGTGATAAATGTGTGATGTGATTGTGATGAATGTGTGATGTGATAAGGGAGTGATGCGATTGTGATAAATGTGTGATGTGATTGTGATAAATGTGTGATGTGATTGTGATGAATGTGTGATGTGATAAGTGAGTGATGCAAATGTGATAAATGTGTGATGCAATGTGATAAATGTGTGATGTGATTGTGATAAATGTGTGATGTGATTGTGATAAATGTGTGATGTGATTGTGATGAATGTGTGATGTGATAAGGGAGTGATGCGATTGTGATAAATGTGTGATGTGATTGTGATAAATGTGTGATGTGATTGTGATAAATGTGTGATGCAATTGCGATGAATGTGTGATGTGATAAGTGAGTGATGCAAATGTGATAAATGTGTGATGCGATTGTGATAAATGTGTGATGCAATTGCGATGAATGTGTGATGTGATAAGTGAGTGATGCAAATGTGATAAATGTGTGATGCGATTGTGATAAATGTGTGATGCAATTGCGAGGAATGTGTGATGTGTTAAGTGAGTGATGCAAATGTGACAA